CTGGTCTGTAAACAGGGGCCTGAAGGTGCAAGAGCAGCCCAGACCACAGAGATTCTTCATCGAAGGCAAAGAGCACTGGCAGTCACCTCACAGAAAAGAGCACCAGTGGTCACCACAAAGAAATCAGACGCTGCTGCTTGACACGTGTTACGAATATTTATTTATTTTTCTTCTTAAAAATGTACAAAAAAATAAAATAACATATTTATAGTTTATAGATTCCCCCTTTCCCATTTACAAAACTATTAAGTTACATTTACTCTTTTTTATGTGGGAGCAGAACTGTAGGCATATTCATCTCCCCTGCCTCACCTTTCAGAAAGAGCCATTCTTAGAATTTGGCACAAACCCTCTTTTCCTCTTGCTTTTCCATGACTGTTAAATACGAAGGAAAAAAAAATAAATGTTTTAACTCATTTCATGCTCCCCAGGTTCCTGCATTAGCTAGCACATATCTTTTAGGAACTGATTTGAAACATGACAGCCCACTGTGTATTTTTTGTCGGTTCCAATATCTAAACACCAGGGAAGTTTCAACAATGTAAGGTCATTGACCAAAAACACTTTCTGGCCTCATGCATCCTCCCATCTTTTATGGATTACAAAAAAACAAAAAACAAAACAAAACAAAACAAAAAAACAAAAAACAACCTTTATTTGGGTGAGATTTTTCAGGGCAAAGTCGAGGCAAGCTTTTCTATCTTGCTAGAGTGTTTTTGTTCAAGACATGACTCTCAGCAAAATTCTGCTAACACAGCAAGGGGCAGACACATGGAAGTCCCCCAAGGGACACTCCAGGACCTGACACTGTCACTCTGTGGCACTGGCTTCTGTCCCTTGTTCTGGTGATGTCTATCACAAGGGACCCTTGTTCGCACCTGTAAGATCAGCCAGTCACGGTTTGAGCTAACCCCAGGAGCTGAAGAGCATGCGTATGTCCAACAGAGTTAGTCCATCTTAGATCAGACACCCGCCAGTACCCTGGAGGGTCCCCAAGCTGCTGGTTCAAGGACTTGGGTTAGGAGTGGAGGAGGGGGCTGGAGCGGAGCTGAGCGCAGGATGCAAACCTTTGGCAACACAAAGAATAAGGAGTACGGGGCTCTCAGAAAGGCGTCCCTGCTATCTCTTGGGATCCTCTTCGTTACGGCACCTACTCTCCATCCGGTTCTTTTCGCCTCCAGCTTTGGAGAGGAGTAGCTGGGCTCGAGTCAACCTCAGCTGCTCTGGGCCTAAGGGGCAGATGGGGCAAGAAGGCAGGAGCCGAGGACGGAGCCTCCAGGTAAGACATCAAAGTGCTTTACAGACGAATCTGGACCTTTCCATGGAAGCTGTCCCATCATCCAGGCCTTGGAGTGAGATGCGCCTGGCTACCCAAACTAGTGCTCAGCCCACGGGGGCACGTACAAGTCCGTAAGCTACCGACCTGCCCACTCACAGAGAGCTGCGGCCCACGACGGGGCATGCTCGCGTGTGACTGTTCAGGTTAGTTTTCTCTCGACCACCAAAGGGTAAGGAGGAAACTCTGGTGTGCGCCCCCAAAGCTGGTTTTAGAAGTGCTGGGGGCTCGCGAGGCTTTCCACAGCCTGCGTGGATAGCCCCACCGCTTCTGGTCCCCAGAAGCAACATCTGCTGCAGCATCACAGTCCAGCCGAGCTGCTGGCTCGCTTCGCAAGGCTGCAGCGGGGTTTCCAAAGGGGCCACTTGAGATGAAGGACATGCTTGTAAACCGTGAGGCACCACAGTGTCCAGGATCCCCACAACGGCCAAGCAGTTCTGCAGCAGGGCCCAGCCACAGGGCCCCGGCGCAAACCCCTGCAGGAACTTCGCAAAAGGCTTAAGATGCCCCATGCCAAAGGGAAACAAGGCACTGACAGCGTGGCCTTTCCCAGACATCGCCAGGAGATAAAAATGTGATGGCCTCAAGGGAGCCAGTCACATTTGAGGAAAAAGGGCTCCGTCTGGGAACCGGGAAACAAGTCCTCAGGCACCACCCAATGGAGAGTCGATCCTGGCAATCACCACAGTCACATGACACGCCAAGGTACCACCTGGATTCTCTGAGTGTCTAGGTATGTGTCTCTTCCAGGCCAGTGGCAGTAAACACACCCACACACCACAGGTAAAATATATTATTGCGATATTATGTACAAAGTATGTACATGGTCACCAGGCACACTCTGTGTTCCTTATCACTGACGTGCTATCGGAACGTCTTCCTGTGCAAGGCCCAGTGGCTACTTGCTGAGAACCCCTGGAGGTATTTAGTAAAATGACCTTCCTCAGAGCTATCTGGAGGTTTGGGGCCAGGAAGTGGGTGCCCTTCTCACCCCGCACATGAAGAAGCCTGCCACACTGAAGCAGCTCGTCCGGTCCATCCATTCAGGAGATGCAGAGAGGTAAGAAAAAAAGACACACCAGCTCCCCGGGCCCTCAGAGATGAGTGGACTGGGTGCGTTTCCCTTCAAGGGGGAGCTATCAGTAACTTGTAGAGTCCCGGAGGGCCTGGACTCCGGGCTCTTAGGGGGGGAAATGGGCAATAAATAAGGACCTGACAGGCCCAAAGAAATTTGCTGAGGGGCTCAGGCTTCAGCTCCATGGGGAGCAAACAGAAGAGTCGAACATTGCCGGTCACCGGGGCCTTGGGCCCCGCCCCCTTCCCAGCAGTCTTGTAACAGTCTTGTGAGGCGGGTGAGACGGATCTCCAGGTTCTGGGGGCGGCCAGTATCCTATCTATCCCAGGAAGGAGTGCACTGAAGGAGGCTCCTGTCAAGGGGACTCGTGTCAGGGCTCAGATCTCCATAAGTGTGATCTTGAAACCCTCCACCATGCTCTCCATGTTAAGAATGAATGTATCCTCGTTTGAATAGTGTTCGATAATGTTGTCGTCCATGTTCACGAGGATGCTGCCATGGAGTGGGGGAGAACAAAGCCAGTGAACAGAGGGCTCAGTGAAAGGGTACCCGTCAGGCTGGGTGCTCCCCAACCTTCTAGTCCCTTCCCCCCACAACCAGGTTAAAGAAAACGGAGCCTCGGTTTCCCTGAACTACCTTCATGGCTTCTTATTAAACAGGGCTTCTGAGATCACCTGGTCCAACACTTATACTTTAACACAGTAGTCAACCCTGGCGTCAGAAGGGACAGCCGAGATCCAAACCGTCGCTGGCTACTGACAAAAATCACAGCCCAAGTAGTTCGGCCCCTGAGGACTTTTATTACAAACCTCTGCCGCCCTTGGCTTGAACACATACGTACAGTAAAAGACAGCACACATGGGCTTCAGAGCAACTTTAAAGATAAGTTTTATAGTCGGTAATTTCCTAGTAAGGAACAACTTGGCAAGGTCTACGGTTCACCCTGTTCACCCAGCCTGTGAGGACTAGGCTAGGTCTGAAGCAGGTTTTATCTCACCCCCAAGCTACCCCTCCTCTCCTCAGCTGCCTACCCCATGGTGGTTTGCTTTCAAGAAAATTCTCTTGCAGAGTCTGTGATTTTTTTAATTTAATTTTTGTTTTCTGTGTTTTTCCTGAATGTATGTAAGTATGATATATATATATATATATGTATGTGTGTGTGTGTGTGTATGTATATGTATATATGTATGTATGTATGTTATGTATGTAAGTATGTGTGTATGTGTGGTGCCCTCAGAGTTCTGAAGAGGACATTTAGTCACCTGGGACTAGAATGGCAGATGGTTATGAGCCACCATGTGGGTGCTAAAAATTGAACCCAGGTCCCATGGAAGAGCAACACATGCTCTTAACCAGTAAGCCGCCCCTCAGCACCTCTCTCCGTGACTGGGAAGTACCTGAGGCTATCTCATTCTTTTAGTCAGAGCTTTTAGTTTGAGAAGCAATGACTCCCTGAACCCTCTTATACTGGTGCCATCAGGCAAGATGCTTGGTCCGTCACAGCTTCAGCCTGTTCCTTCACCAACCTAAGGACCACCCAGCCTCGTGGGTTGTTGTTAGGATACAAGCCTGGAACAGGACTTCACACAGACATCAGGCTCTCTAGCCAGCAGGACTTGAGGAATATCCCCAGCCCACTGCATCGACCTTGGGAAAAACTGCAGCCCACATTCACTGAGTTCCTAACAAGAGCTTAATTCAGAACGCCCAAGAATCCCAGGTCATGTCTCCTTAACGAAGAGGGCCCGGGCAAGAGTTAAAGGCAGCTCTATTCTCTCAGAGGAAGCCCATGAAGGGCCTTGAAAGGAACAGGGGAGCCATACACACCCTCCCCCAGTCTGTGTTCTGTTTACTAAACACAAAACCTGGAGCAAAATGCTGAAGCCACTGAGGCTTCACTTCCTCGTCAGTAAACTCATACATGAGTGAGGAGGAAACAGGACTACAGAACTGAGGAGCCTCCTGACCACCCAACCAGGAAGGACCAGTTGTTCCTAACGATGTGGGCAAGCAAGTCCGATGGCCATCTGAGAAGATTTCATTAATGATTGCCTTGGAATAAGTCCCCATGTCCTCAACAGGTTTTTTTGTTCCTACTGCGTCACTCAGGGGCCAGTGTCAAGAGTGGTGACCTCTTCGTTGTCCCCAATGTCCCCACCAGCTCTCCATCCCTCTGGTTCGCTTTTAATGCTGTCTTATAGATGCAAGCATCTTGGGTGTGCCTTGGCATTGCACTGTGGGTCTCCCTGCCTCAATCACTAACGATCTTTAAGTGGCATCGTGGGCCACAGAGGTGGTAACAAGAGACAAAGAAAGTGCCGTTTGAAAAATGCACCTTGCAGTCATGGAAGCTGTTAGGCATCTGTCCTTGGGGTTCTGACTGGATGCACCCTCAGCTGCAGACACTAAGAGCACCACCGGTGCACATTCATTATGTTCCCTTTTAAAGAGGCCCCGCCCACCTCCCATCCTTTCTCTCTCTCTCCCTCTCTCTCTTTCTCTCTCTCTCCCCTCTTTCCTCTGTCTTGCTTCTCCTGGCCCCAGGCCAGTCTCCCCCCTCCCATTTTTATGATCTCTTTCCCTAATAAAAAAACCCCTCTGCTTGAACCCAGCTCACATGGCATCTTTCTCTTGTGCACGGCTTTTCTTAAATTATAATAGAAGCTAGCTGAATTTAGCTTCTTTCTTACCCCTTTTTGCTCTTCTTATAAAGCTTCGTGATTTTCTCCACTGGCAGTCCGTACTTCTCAGACAGCTAAAACAGGAACAATAGGGAAGCAGGTCAGCGGGGACGGGCACACGCACAAGCAAGGCAGAATATCCCAGCTCAATTCACATGTCACTGAGCACAGCACCCTCTCCCCTAATGAGACAAGTTGTAAAGCCTCATTTATAAGACAAGAAAGT